GCGCCTTTAGTAGTAGTAATCAATTTTATCACAATCTTTATAACCCATCATGTATTGACTATATAATATATTACATAAACTTAAAACATATTTTCTCAAAATTTTTTTTTCTAATACTAAGTTAAATATTGTTTATATAAATATCATACTCGTTATAAAAATATATCAAAAGTTTTTTATTAAGAAGAAACGTTTAACGTTTATCATAGAAATATCAAAGAATATTTATCGTATTTTCGATCGTTGAACGTAACACAGATAAACATATCGTTATTGAAATATAAATGTTAAGCGAAAAAATAGTTGTTGACGGGAAAAAAATCATCGCTACAATAATTGTAAACGCCGCGGATCCAAAACCCGTGATCCGGACGAAAAAAAATCAACACGTACTGCAATGCGGTGCAACACGCACAACGCACGGGCGTGCAACTAGAACGCAAATGTTGGGGGTAATTAAATTTTAACTCGAGGGTGCTAAAAACCCAATGCATCCCCCCCCTCCCTAGTTGCGCCTACGGCACGATGTACAGCAGTGCTCGAATTGAGAAAAATTAAGTAGAGGAGCTCAGTCCAACGATTTGAAAACTGCATTCCACGTGCGCAATTATTTGACACAGACCCGTGGACCCGTGAGGAGCTTCGTCCCTCTTCCCCCCTCCACCAACCTTAAATATATTTTGAATACCACTTTTCAACTAAACAAATATTTAAATTCCAAATATAATATATTTTGATAGCAATACCAACATCCTATATGTTACAATAGAAAATAAAAATAAAATAATAATTAACATAGGTAATTGTAGGCGATCAGGCAGTCTCATGAATCGAATGATATAATCATATATTTGGTTTTTGTTTTTATTTATTTTGACTCTTTAGTGCGGGCCACGGCCTTAGAAGATTAATCCAAGGTCGTGGTGAAGGCATTTATTTTTTTCCGAAATGACGATATCGTCGATCGCCAATATTAATAACAAACCGTACAATGTATAAAGTATAATCCACCGAATTCGCAGACATTAATATTTATATTTTTCCAGAAATTACGACGTTGTCCCTTATCATAACCACCATACAATCTTTGATTATAAAAATAGTTTTGACATTATAAATCGTAAAATTAATTTTCCAATTGACGTAAATTGACATAAAAATTATTTTGGACATCAATTAGGATGAACGTGACGCCCCCCCCCCCCGTCCCCAGGAAAAAAAACGGGAGGGGGTCGCAAAAAAAAAAAAAAAAAAATTAGTAGAGAAGCTCCGTCCCCCTACGCACCCCCCCCTCCCCTAATTCGAGCACCGATGTACAGTTAATACGTGTTATACGCCTATTGTTATTACATATATTTGAATAAATTACCAGACGGTTCATGATGACCGGAGTGTAGTGGATGATATGCGTGCGCGCGATTTATTACGGTTCGCGCGAAGAGCGTAATTGCAACGTGGTCAGCAGACGTTTGGAGACCGTTCGCGTGTAACGTTTTCGCGACTGCGATCGGTCGGACGTGCCACCGCCGTCTTATATAATCGTCCGGATCGACGGCGATGCCGCGGTCGAGAATCGCACGGGACTTCGGAACAACAATAACGCTGGGGTTTCTCGTGATCGGGCGGGACTGGTCGTCGGGAGGTATATTATTACGCGCGTTTAGAATAATTGCCATGGCCGACCATTACGCTAATTACACGTTTTCCGTGCGTTATAATAAATAATATGTACGTGTGTCTACCCGTTCGGCGGATCGTTAACGATATCGTGGTTAATCGTCTCGCCGACGTCGACGAGACAATGCGCTCGAACCGTACCATGACCGTGGTCTGGGTTTCACCCGGTCCGCGAAAAAAAGTTTGACACGTTTGCATAAAATTTTTTTTACTCGCTCGAACCTCGACGGCTCGCGCTTGGCAGTTTGACGGAAACGTTTCGCCTGATGGACGTGCACGCGGAGATACCGATGTATTCGTAATATCTATGATAAAATGCGTGTATCAAAAGTTATCGAAAATCTAAACAAGTCTATGAATCCACGTTACTGTATCATTATTATGATCATAATCATAAAAACAATGCGAAAATGTGTAGTTATTATTTTCTTGAGGACATCACAACTTCAACTACATTTGTCGCTTTGTTCGTCTAAAAACTCAATAACTTTCCATTACGATGGAAACACGGGAATTCGAAGTTCTTTACAGCTCAAAAAAAAAAAAAAAAAAAAACAATCATAATCCATAATAACTAGTATCTAATTCGTAATAATTGATGAATAATAAATAATGAAATGTTCTCGTATCTTGCAATAAATCATCATTGTCAGACTTCAATCTTTACGCTATTACAATGTATGTTCGAAAAAAATAATAACAATAATTTATTGTGTTGCCGTTGAAAAACGTGTTGTTTTCCTGCTCCGTCGAATTATCCAATTACAAAAGAAACATTTATTTCCAGAAAAAACCTTCGAGGATCACCAACGTAGCTTATTCTATGTAAATGTTATGGCAGTGCTCTACAACGATTTTATTGTAAATCTTATAAACTAAATAACATAATAATACATCAATGCCATATTTTTAACAGCACAACATTATAATTCATATATACTATATGTAGTCGTGTCGATGGTTTAACATTGATTTAACGTTTCGTATTCCCCGATATTATAATAAGCACAGTTATTTGTCATGTTAAAAATTGTGATTTTTATGAATAAGTCATTAAACGTGTGACCGATTATTACAATTTCAGAGTAAAGAACTTCACTTCACCGCCGTAAAATTTTTTTAAAAAAAACAACACGTCATACCAGATAAAAACAATTTGCAGTACTACAACTAAATCACGTATAACCCTGGTATAAAAATACAATTTTTATATTTGCGGAAATTGTTTTACGTATTTCTATTCAAACTGATCTTGTAAATAGATATATCAGTACATAATAAACGTATGTTTATGACAGTGGACTGTATTTTAAATATTTCGTTTGCAATCTATCGTTAAAATAGCGATTCCGGTATAGCTCTGTTTATTTTATCCCGACTTGGTACGCATGTTTAGTTTTTTTGTCTATTCCTAAAATGTATATATTATAAAATAAAAAGGGTTATCAAATCGTCCGGACAAATTACATCGGCCGAATGAAGTGGAAGAACGTGCGAGATCTCTGGTCATCGTTCATACACTCGCTAACGTTTGCATAATTTATCGTTTACCTACGCACGATGTGCGTCTGCGACCACACGTCATGCCGTCCGTATACAGTGTGTTCGCGATAAAAAGTAACGCTATAGATATTTCGGTCGACGCACGACACAGTGGCGTATGTAGACTTACTTCTAGGAGGGAGGGGGCGAATCAAATATTTTCTTTAGTTCAGGTTCAAAATGTACAAGTAATATTTTTAGTAATATTTTTTACTAAGTATAGACTCGACAAAAAGACCAATTCAGTATTCACAGCCATGCGTAATTTGATTTCATTAAAAAACGATGGGCATTAAAAAAAAATTGAAATGTGTACCTCACTTATAATCGATTCCTTAAGTACGTATTCAGGGGGGGATCTCCCCCTTAGCTCTCCCTAAAATACGCCCCTGGCGTTCAATTGAGATTTGGCTTTCGATAGGCGAAAGGGTACGATGGACAATATCAGACGCTCATCCCTTTCGCTACACGTGTGCAACATATTTATTTATTTTATAAACGGCGACTCTGATTTTTTCCCTACCCTCATTAGACTATTATTTTTTTTCCAAGCGTATTGAAATTTTGAAAATATCACGTAATATTATAAAATTATCGTTATAAGCATGCCATTTTCAGTCGTCTAAGACGAACAGCTGAACGGGATGCACATCGATGCGTGCTGCACGTGTACAGCTGCGACCATATAACATGACGACGTGCGGGTCGAAGCGCACAAGTGAATCTGTCGACGTTTCGTACGTTACCGTGGCGTACGCCGATGCAATGCGGATACGTAAAGTGCGTTCTCTTACGGATCGATCGACGGAATTGTGGACGGAAAGGTCGAAAAATCGAAAAATGTCGATGGACATTGGTGGTCAATGTTTTACAATAGACGTTTCTTACAGTGATAACTGCACAGCCTAACGAGCGTTTCGGAATACGTGCACAAATCGTTCGAATAGTGTCAAGTGTTATGCATTCCGTGCAAGGTGTAATAGGTATTGCATTTTTGTTTGTTGGGTGTTTAATATTGCACATATATTGCGCGCAAACACCGCACCGTGTACCATACGTACATGTTGTCCGTGCGAGAAATTAATTTTGGGTTGAGCATCAGGTTTTTTTTCGTCCACGTCCGTTTTTTAATCGTTCACTGATAAGGAGTTTTAATTATAACCATATTACGTGAGTGTGTTCTACCGTGAGATTCAAAACTCCTTCTGTTGGAAGGTGAACACGCAAATAATAATAGTGCGCGTTTTACTTTATTTTTTTTTCAATGCATTTGTTTTTTTATCACATGATAATCAAACATAAGAGATAATCGCTTGATACTCAAACCCTAAGTTTCAAGGCCATGGTTCTTTTTGTGTTCGTTAATAACAGCGTAATTATCAAAGACTATTTAATTACACCGTCAGATATTCGCATTTGGTGCGGCTTCACGAGGTCGGAAAACGTTACGTTACTATTAATTATCGGTAAACTATCGTAATAAATTTGAGAATGCAACAGTAAAAAATACACGTACAACGAGAATCATAATCTGAGGTTTTTAATTAAATCGCTTTTCTGCACCGCGCGTAATGGACTACATATTGCTCACTCGAACAATTATCTCATAACGTGCCTTCCAAACAATGTACACCAATAAGCGTTTTTATGTAAAAAAAAAAAAAAAACGTTTTTTTTTCATACACGATGCACTCGTACAGGTTTTCATATTTCCGACGGATTTGATAGTAAAATCGGAAAAACGCATTATGCTGTTTTCACGGTCGAAAAAGAAAACACAGTTTGGTGTACAGGTTTAATATTTTATTTATATTTAAAACGATCATTTAAATGACCAAGAGTGGAAAACCAGTTACAAACATGGAGTTTTCCTCATGAAAAATAAATTAAGATCAGTAATAATATATGATACGCGAAGGACGGATGCCAATGGAATTTTCATCATCTACGACTCGTGTTATACAGTCGGACGATGCGATCGAAGTCTCAATAATGGTGACTTCCGTGGCCACTGGAAGAACCGCTGGACGAACCACCATGTTGGTTGTTCTGGAAACCTTCTTGATTTTTGTTCACCGAAGTGAAACCAGAAGTTTCTTCTATGATATAGCCCTTCTGTCCGCTGGACTGGGATCCGAATTGTGAACCGCCACTGCCGCTTTCGAAGTTGCTGCCACCATGATGCTGGCCACCACCAATGCCGTGTTGACCACTGCCGAAACCGCTCGAGCCGGATCCGTAGTTTCCGCCTTGTTGGAATCCGCTGGACGAACCACTGCCGGCCGAATGACTTCCGGAGTCGATCACTTCCACGTGCTTCTTATTGAAGCCAGAAGCGATGTTCAGATTACTGCTGCCGCCCTCTTGGTCGGTGGAGTGATGTTGCTGCTGTTGCTGTGATCCACCGGAGCCATAACTTCCGTGACCAAGTCCGCCTTGTCCGTAGCTTCCGTGCGATCCTCCGCTACCGAATCCCCCGGCGTTGTTTCCTCCATGGCTACTTTGTTGGTAATCAGATTCGTAGTTATGCCCGCTACTGCTGCTAGACTGATGATGTTCACTGCCTCCGTGATGCTGTTCATTGCCTCCGTGATGATGTTCACTACCTCCGTGATGATCATGGCCACCGTGATGATGTTCACTGCCTCCGTGATGATCATGGCCACCATTATGGTGTTCTTTGTTGTTGTTGTGCGGGTATCCAAGAGCATAAGCGACCAACAAAACGGTCAATGCGATAGACTAAATAAAAAATAAAAATATTGCATAATTGTTACCGATTAGCTAAAAATAATTATCAAACTATAAAATTACTTATTATTAAGTAATTAATTAATGTATATTTTAACACGTGTCATAAAAAAACTTTTTTATATCCTTAATCATAGTAAACCTGTACTCTTATAACTCATTAAGATTTTAAAAATTGATCTGCTAGATCCATTAAAGTCATTCAAGACACGTTATCACACAGTTTGATTAGTTCAAAGACGTAATTAATTTATTGGTAATCTAATGGGTTAGTGTTTATGTACTGATCATGTTTACAATAATTTTATTCAATAGATAAAAACAAGAAAACAATTAGAACGTAACTGATACAATTAATAATTAAAACCATCGATAGCAATACTGTATACTGTTTACAGTATTAACTTTGAAAATGATAAAAACTTACATGTTCTACCAGTAACGAAATCGAAGGTGGTAACTAAAATTAACTTAGTTAACCTATTTATTATAGGCCGTTATACCATGATTAAAAATGTATAAGTATCACAAAATCAAAAGCATAATCGATTACGCATATTGCGAATTTCCGATATTAATGTTTTTTTTTATTGAAGTAATCATATAAGGTGTAACATTTAAAATTAAGAAAAGTTTATATTATCTTCAATGTATAGTTATTTAAATTTTGATTTTACGTCTTTTTTTATTACTTTACATAAATATCCATTATTTATAGAAGTTGTGTGATTTAAAATGTATTTTAATTGAAAAAATTAAGCAGTGCGATAATATTAAAACAACATCTAATCTTAAACTTAAAAATTACAAAAAACATAAACATTTTCATTATATCAAATTAAATTTAAATTATATATTCCCGTTTCTATTTTATACAATTTACAATTTATGGTTTTGAAAAAAATGACATAAATTAATTCTGAATTTTTTTTTAAACAAATAAAATTACACATTAATAAGATATCTATTAAAGCTTCAAGTATGAATTTCTAAATATATTTTATTTGATAAAATAACAAACGACATTTTCGGATTAAAATTTACGATAAATAGGTAACTTTAATAACTTCAAGAATTTAAATGCTGAATTTAATATTCACAATTGATAATTTATTATAAGCTTCATTTTAAATGTAAAAATATTTTTATACGTTTTAAAATGATACTAGTTCTACCAATAATTTAATATTTAGTAAGTATTCAATGATGTTTAGGGTAGGCCTTGGAACTATAAGTGCTAATATAATTAAATATTTGCAATACGTATACATTAAAGAAATAGAAAAAAATTTGATATTACATGAAATTAAAATTATAATAATATGCGAAAACGTGCAATTTTCGTTTGATTTAAAATACCAAAAAAAAAAGTAGAAACTGCTAACAATTAATATTTTTATTATATTATAGTTTTAACAAATTAAACTGAAATGAAAACACCGAATACAGACTAAATAAAGCCTCAAAAATTGAACATGAATGTAACATATTCTTATTTTAAGATTCAATGCTCAAGATTGTAAAGACTTGCCTCTATTGCTGCCGAATTTAGATACAAAATAATGTATTTTTATTAATAAAAATGTGATTTTTCGTGTAAATAATTGTAAATATTTAAAATTAGCCACAAATCATCAGAGTAAATTGTTTAAGGAAAAACTAAAAAATAGTAAAAATAAATATGTTTATAAGTTATAAATATTGAAGTTTTCTTCCAGTAAAAAACTATGTGTATCCCACTTATTAACATTTATAACATTTCATTTTCAAATTAAATATTAATTGATTATTAAACAATAAAAAATATATATACATAAATCGTAAAAAACTAAAATAATATTCAACTATAATTTACTTTTCAAAGGATTTAATTTTGCAAAAAAAAAAAATCCTAATGCCCGTTTTTTTTTTTTTTTTTACATAGTAGGTTATAGTTTTCATCTAATAATTCATTCGACAATAAATTAAAATCAAATCAAATAAGTGTTAAAGTAATCGAAAAAGAATTTCTCGATAGATAGCAAATTATAATGATTATTATCATGTTGTTAAATCGACATTTAAAACTAACACAAAGAAAAAATAATAATAAATATGAAACAGATAAATGATCCGTGATTTTTAACATAATATCACGGCTTAAAGTATCGTAAGATTTCCGATTGGTTTATGTTACAGCCTACGGCTTAGGCGGTCGAAATCATACACATCCTTGACGATTAGGGACGTACAGCGAAACCATAATCGGTCTAATGTGTCGGTGTAGGCACGCGAACGTCAATGTATACGTGTGGGTAATCCATCGACAACTTTGTTTCGTCATTTGAAATCGATACTACTTACGATACACCGATGGACTATTTAGCGAAACTATTCGGAAATTCAAAATCGCATTATCCGATACGTGATCGGCGGCGTTCCGAACGTACGCTAAACGTTCATACGTTTGAAAAAAAAAACAAAAACAAATCCGGTGATCAGGTTCGAATACGTGAACACGAACGCTCTTTGATTTGGATTACGACGGCGTTATGTAGTGTACACAATAGTTACCAGACGGTTCATGATGATGGGATGGCCGTACGTGCGGTATACGATTTGTCTACTATAAAAACGATATGGTCGGCCGACGTCGGTGGACTGCAGCGGATTGTTGTAGCGTTGCGACTGCGATCGGTCGGCGGCGGCGCCGCGTCTTATATGTGAAAATGGCACGCGCCCGCGCGCCCGCGCGCCCGCTCGGGTTTTTCAGTATTACGTAATCGCGCGGGATGATCGTCGCGGAACGCTTGCGCCGACCTTTTTTTTTTACCGACCCGTAACCGTATGACGGCGTCTTTGTCGGGACGCCCTGTAGGCCGGGTTCGATCGGTGATATTTTATTGCACGGCGTAGACGTGGTGAACGTACGAGTCGCCGGAGTTCAATTCCACTCAACATCAGCAGCACTGCCACCGATAACGGATAGGTGGTTTCGAGTAACTTGGACAGTACGAGTAATGTGGTTTGAGCGCGCCACGAGGGCATCGGACTCGGAGTGCCGAAATCGGTTGTAGAGCGGGACCCCGCGATGAAGACGCCGAGAAGACGCCCGGAGACACGATGGATGGATGGAATAAAACAGGACTTGGAGAAACTGGGGACACCGTAACGGGGAGAAAAAGTGAATGAAATGCCCGAACGGACAACGAGGACAACTATTACAATTATAATTAAACTATATGAAAACTCAACTATCGAAATTAAAACTATAAATTATAAATATCGATCGGATATACTATCATTTGTACATGATAAAAAAGTACAAATCATTTTTCGTTTTATACTAAGGAAATATATTTTCAGAGCATTTAAATTTTAAAAACAATTAAAATCTTATAGCATCATCGAAAAATTGTTACGTATAAAAATATTTTTAAACACTTAATAAGAAAAACACGCAATAAATTATAAAAAGATTCGGAATCAGGTAAATACAACGACATTTATATTAATGAACCTTCTACAGCGGAGGCGTACGTAAGATTATCGTTTTTCAAAGTTCGCGTAGAGGTTCGTATGAAAATCGTTCCGGTACGATAAATCGTACGTTACCACTCTGGTACCCTAGGTTCCATTTCATAAATGTCGCCATAACTTCTCTTCTAGTGACCGTACCCGACAACGTCATCATTTATTTTTTCGTTATGATGTTCCTTTCCGTCCTCGTGTTCATAGTTACCGTGTGGCTTATCACCACCGTGATGTTCGTAGTGACCATACTGTTCTTTTTGACCATGACATTCTCTTTCACCGTGATGCTCTTTCCCATCATGGTGCTCGTAGTGTCCAGGATGTTCTTTTTCCCCATGATGAACTTTTTCACCGTGATGCTCCTTTCCGCCATGATGCTCGTAGTGTCCAGGATGCTCTTTTTCACCATGATGCTCGTAATGTTCAGGATGTTCTTTTTCCCCATGATGAACTTTTTCGCCGTGACTTTCATATTGACCATGTGAATTATCGCCACCATGATGCTCATAATGACCGTGGTGTTCTTTTTCGCCATGGTGTTCATAGTTGTCATGTGGTTTATGACCACCGTAGTATTCTTTCTCACCATGGTGTTCCTTGTCGCCGTGGTGCTCATAGTTATCATGAGGTTTATGACCGCCGTAGTGTCCTTTTTCTCCATGGTTTTCTTTCTCACCGTAATGTTCTTTTTCGCCGTGGTGCTCATAGTTATCATGTGGTTTATGACC